CGTAAATGAAGAAGGGAAGACTTTGGTTGTAAGTAAATAATAATACAATAACTTTTTGGATCAAAAAACTAGCAGCATAGTTGATTATGTTTCTTTTATCGTGTTTGATGATTTAGGTTATATCCTCATATTAAGTCTATTGCTTTTCTTTCTATTTATAGTTCCATTTTTACGAAATCATACTGTCGGTTTTTATGTTTCTTGGTGAAAAACATAAAAAAAACTAGCAGCATAGTTGGTTCTCATTATATTTCTTGGTGCCAATCTCTATCAGGGGGACTTTTTACCTTCTTTGGTCTTTTTTTTTTTTGGTTTTCTTTGCCTTTTTGTTCTACATGTGGACAAAATTCTCAAATCTTTTATGTTTCACTATATAAAAACAACTTCTTATAAATTTAGTCCTTTCCTATAAAATTTAGATAGAAAATAATATAAAATCCTGTAACTTTGGTCTTAGAAATACACAGTCAGGCTCAATGGTAAAGGAATTATTCATAACTAAGTACTTAAAAATAATTTAATATCTTTCTGTTGATTGAACCTTGTTGCAAATGTTATTGATAATTCATACTTATACGTTTGATGTTGTCTCTGTGGTAAAAGTTATGAAATTGATGAACTGCCATAATTTTATTATCTTTATAAGATAACTATTGATATCTCCTTATTTTCTAAATTAAAAATAAAATTCTTATTTGTCACATATAGGATAACTATTGATATCTCCTTATTTTCTATAGACTTATATATCTATACTGAAAGCATGATTTGTTACAGCTTTTTGCTATATTGAAAAATTAAAGCATGATTTATTGAATTGCTTCATCAAACTGGAATTATGCAAACTGTGAGGTCAAACCATTCTGCCAAAGCTTCAAGAATTTTGCTGAAGAGAAAGTGCTCTTCTTGATGTGTATTTGTTGGCTGACTTTAACTATTTTGTAGGAAAAGATATCAGAGCACCTATCTCAAGATCAGGAGCGTGCTGCCACTATAGGTGTTCCATCAAAGGTATTAGCTTATCCTGATGATGCTATTGGAAAGGTATATCACTACAAGAAAACAAGTATATTGCGGCTGTTCATTTTCTATTTTGGGGCGGTTAAAATTGCCGCTAGATAAAGTGTGAGGCAGTTTACCAACCGACGCAGATACAAGCGTCGCGCGAATTTCTACGTCGATTTCAACTAATCGCTGACCGCCTCTGGTTTCTTCCGACTGTTTAAAAGGCAGTTCAACTTCACAAACAATTATCATTTGGCAAAGACACGGTGGTTAATAACCGCCTCCTTACTATTCAATTGATTTCTTTTATTTTAAAGCCTCTATTCTTAAATTTCACGTACAATTGCGTATCTGTTCAAGAATTAAATTATAATATTAATAAATGTATTATTGAGATTTATATTTATTCATGTAAATTTATTACTTTTATTTATTAATGTTTTTAATGTGATGTATACATCAAATATTTTATAAAATTAATTTATTTATTATATAAATATTAAAATATTACAAAATCCAAGTCGAAAGTATTACATATGACTCAATAGTAAGTGAAAAACTAAATTAAAGGAAATGGTAGTCCACGACTTTATGCTTTGTAAAAAGCAAAGAAGGATCTTCTTTTTGGCATTTAAGCTCCAAACCTGCAGTCATAAAAAAAAATATTGTTACTTGGAAGTTTCAAATTTAAAGATATGAAACATAAATGTAAAACCAAAAAAATATTTCTTATGTTTGTGTCTAGTACGTTTATGTTTTTTTTAAAGAATAAAAATAAAATATACAAAATACTACACACAGTTATACGCAATTAGACTTAACTTTTTTAGAATTACACATGTTACAAAACCTATTGCTCATAACAAAATTTATTAGCATTTCACAAAAATAACATGTGCAACAACTAAGTTATTTGCATTACCAAAAATAATATAGATAAAATTTTAATTGGAAACTTTCCTCAAACACTTGATATGCAAGTGTACAAAATCGATGCAGTAGCTCTTAAAAGAGAAGAGATTGGGTCTTTGATTGAAATTTGTACCCAAGATAAAGAACAGAATATTATTGAACCCAATTTTATACCTTTCGTATCCTGTAACTTTGCATTCTTCTTACCGGTTATGAAATCTTTCTCACAGAGTCACAGGCTTCAAGAAAAATATACAATAGTTGTAAATTATTAAAATAATAAATGGTTGTAAAATAATAATGATAAATAAATAATATCACCATATGTCCTCTGTTCAATGTGCACAACACCTCAGCTCCGTTGTCCAAGCCAAGAATCGTTGTCGTACTTGTCGCCGGCGATGTCTCATTCCTTCTACCTTGCAACTAAACGATCTCATGGACCTCAGTTTCACTAGATGCGAAGATACATAGTAGTCTGGAATACTTTTTTACGTTACACAACACCATGGTCAAGGGACCTTTCCCATTGTGGCCACCACAAGCGGCAAATCAAAAGAAAAAGATAAGTGAGAGACATTAGGTTTAGGAAGGGGAAAAAACATATATGTGTGAGAGGTGATGGAAGAGAGGCGCGACTTTTAAGGTTTAGTTTTAGGAAAGAGGGAAATGAAAATAAATAGAGGGAATTTAAAATCAAAATTCTTGCCTATCAATTGTGTTTTGATTAATTTTTTTTTTAAAAAAGACAAACTGTCGTGAAATCACTTTAAATCGACGCTGAATTATGGTATATTACGACAATTATAAGAACCGCCTTACTAACAGCTAGGGTGGCAATTTGGGTTGAACCGCCCCGACCCGCACCGTCCCGCCACCAACCCGTTAAAAACGGAGCAGGACGGGTTGACCCGCCAAAAAATATGGGTTGTAAAAATGAACCCACCCCGTTTTATAGTGGGTTGGCGGGTCAACCCACCAACCCGCTAATTAAAAAATTTAATTAAAATTCAAAAATAAATTATATTTTATGAATTTTTTTAATATTATTTTATTTTATTTCACACTTCTCTATATTTTTTTTAGTCTCAATCTTAAATGTATACTAATATTTGTCAAACATTCTTTAGGAATTTATAAATAGATAACATTTGTCATAAATAAAATTGTTATTCTTTATTTTTTTAGAAAGTACTAAGATAAAAAAAAATTGAATATCACAAAAATTTAAGTACTAATGAAATACTACCTAATTGTAAAAAAATAAAAAAAATAATAAAAAAATTTAAAACCCGGCGGGTTGAACCCGTTTTGACCCACTTCTAGGCGGGGCGGGTTGAGGTGGGTTGGTGGGTTGAAAATCTCAACCCAACCCGCCCCGTTTTGGCGGGTTGGCGGGTTGACCCGCCGGCTCAACCCATATTGCCACCCCTACTAACAGCCACAAAGTTAAATACAGAGGCGGTTGAACTCAAACCATCGTGAATCGACAGTCGCGAATTGACTATTTTCTTGTAGTGTATGGAGCTGAGCCTTCAGGTCGGGTGCGTGGGTTAGGCGCTGGTGTTTGCCCCTCCAATGTTTTTGGAATGCCAAGACATTCTATTGGTTTTACCAATTTTGGTAGTTCCATTCAACAATGTGTTGAAGACTTGAAGAAACATATACAATCTTTGGAAATAAAGTTGGATGGATATGAAGAGATAAAGGTTGGATATGAAAAGACCAAGATTGTGTATGAAGAGACCAAGGAGCATCTTGTGCAAACTCAAAAGCAATTGGCTTCTCTTCACAAATTTCTACTAGATAAATTTGGAAGTGAGTTAGCTACTTTCAACCAATATGTTTTACCCTCTTTGTTATAATTGGTTAGAAACTTAGATAATTTTGTTTTTTTTAAATCATTTGCAAGCTTTATTTCTTCTCTTTCTTATCATGAAGCTAAATTCTTTTGGTTTTTGTACAGGTGTGATAGGGTAAATAGCACTTCAAAGGACTAGGATGCATAGAAGAACAGGTCCTGGAAGATTGATATTTGCAAAGAGCTATACTTTTAGTTTAGGAGAATGATTCATGGAAAATTAATGATATTTTGAACAATTAGAGATAATCACTATATTTTTCTTCAATTACCCAAATTGGTTCACTGGCTTGAACATTTTCTTTTTTGGATTAGACAATGAGGTATTCTTTGAGTGTTGAACTAATAGGGGGAAGATATTTGCCCCTCCATGAGATACTTATGGTGAGATTTGAAATGCTTGTAAAATCTGCTAGTGTAGGGCAATTAAGCCACATGTTGTGGTTTTTTTTTCCTTCCTGATACATACATTTTGTGAGTGTTTCACTATTATATGAAAAATATTTGTTACACGTCAGATTATGTACACATAATACCTCAGGGCAAATTTGCATCATTAAAGGGTGTATCATGTTATTTTTTAGATTACATACTAAATAATAAAAGTAATTTTTAATATTTTTTGTTTTTATAAGACTAATAAAAAAAATGTAATATTATTAAATTAAAAAAAAAATTCATATATTTAGCCACATTCATGAATGTGGTTAAAACAAATTTCAGACATAATTAGCCACATTTTTTTATTGTGGCAAACTATACAATTTAACCACATTTATAAAGTGGTTAAATTAACAATAATTGTGGCTAAAAAAAGGCTACCACACTCAATCAAAATGTGGCAAAGTGAAGAAAATAATGTGGTTAAATTATTGCAACACCTGTTTTAACCACATTTAATCAAAATGTGGTAAAGTTTGTTAGCCACTTTTTTATCATTGTTTGCCACATTTTGAATGTGGCTAAACAACCTTTTTTTTGTAGTGTCGTTAGCAATTATCATTCGCAAAAGATCGATCAAGAGCACCAACACCATCAGCAGTTGCAGCGTTCTAAAAAATACTTATTATGAAGTTACTTGTAAGCGCACGATAAACACTTCAAAAAGGTAGAATCCACAATAATCTTAAAAAATGATTTATTTAAAATGGAGAAGGAAAGAAATAATTAACATTATTCAAAGGATCTATAAAAGAACCTAATTAAGGTCACATTATTTCTTCTAATTAGAATTCATCAAAAAATTTGATATCATGAGAATTATCTGAGCAACTTGTTCGACAACACTACCATATTTGGGGAGCAAGGACATATCATGATAAGGAGGACCAGATTGTGACCCCTCTCTAATACAACCATCAATGTGTCCAGTGATATCATTCGCACCCACGCTCATGCCAAAGTAATTTCCCGATCTCAACATCCGTTGAGTGTGTTCAACATCACCAAGGGCACCCTCATAACCAAAACGTGACAAACACATTATGTAGTGGTCTCTAGCCTTAGGATCGGTAGTACTATGTGCGATCAACGAATTGATCAAGTTGATTGTATTAGTGACATTGGCATGAACTATGTCAATACTGTATTGGGCAAGGCTAACGAGGTCTGCACCATCTGCTCCCCCAGGCTTCGAGTTAAGAAGACTTGAACAAAATGAAGGGTTTTCGGCCCAAAAGCAAATATCTTTTACTTTCACAACTCTATTGGAGGATGCAACAGATAAAAGGAACAGCAATACAAAAAAAGAGATCAAACATGATCTAACAAAGAAACGAACCATTGTAATCCCTTTCTCTTGTTTCTCCTTCCTTCCTAGTTTGGCTTAATGTATGCATTCAGTATGCGAGTTATTTTATAGTTCTCAATTGAAAATAAGGATCAGTTTCATTTCATTAATTGGATATTTATATTCATATCTTTGAATTAATATTTTTGAATACATTTAATTATTTTGGGATCGTTGACTTTATCTACAATTTAATGCTTTGCTGATTTTGAGAATCATATTTAATGATTTAATAATATTTAATTAGAATACATTTAATAATAAATATGGGCTTAATAAATACATGTAATAATATTTAATGCATATACATTTAAAAGTATAAAATCTATATATTCTGACATTTTTCTTTTCAAACAGCCTGGTGAGCTACTGAATATTAAATCAAGCAGCAATCCTCTGAAGTGTATCAATTGTCAATTTTATTTTAATGATATTATATCATTTAATGTAATAAAGTAAAAAAATTATATTAAAATATGATTTTCTTGGTGAAACGGAAAAATTTACAACTTGAAGATAAAAATATTTTTATTTATGAAAACAATTCACTTTCATCCCTTATTATTTCAAGGTATAAACACTTAAGACCTGTGGTTCGAAGCTTATCTCTTGGATCTACTATGGTTACATAAGTGATTTACTGGTTTCAAAATTTTACTAACTTGTGCATTACCCGTGTGTGTGATGTATGAGGGAGAAAGATAAAAAAATTTATCGGCGACCATTGTTGATTAATCTATAAAAAAAGAAGAAGAATGTGTCATTATTTTCCTATATATATTAGTATATTACTCGTGCGATGTACGAGGAAAAAAAATTGGTTTGTCTATCTCGTAAAAATTAATGCAAATCGTAAAAGTATATCACTGCACTTTATGCAATCAAGATAATGAATGGTCTTTTTAACTATCACATTTAACCTGAGCTATGAAGTGTTTATAAGAATATTAAATGTAATAATTCAAATATTTGCCAACTCTACATGTACAAAAAGTTAGAGTTAGGTACCTCATAGTGTTAGTTAGACTGCAATGGCCCTCCGGACCGATCTCATTTTGTCACCTCTAAAATGTCAATATTTTATATCAACATGATTTGTTAGACAATAAATATAAGCGAGAAAAATGTGTTAGCAGGTGGCGGCCGAGCCCATTTTTTCACCTCCATCTATCAACATTTTATATCAAGTGTAATAAATGAAGAGCTGTCTCTAAATTGACTTTTCAGAAGTGTATAACAAATTTGTAATTTATGTGACAAATCATTCCTCCACTAGTTTTTATTTATTTTTTCAATACAGCGAGCCTCTGATTGTTAATTAATTAATCATCATTTATGAATATTGATCAATATTTGAGTGTATTTTGAAGGTTTTGGGTTATGTTTTTGAGTACCACCTTCTTAATTACATTTTCATTTTGCAAAACATAACAAAAAATTATAAAAAACATACTTTATAAATATTTATCTTATTTTATTATCTATTAAAAAAGATAAAGCAAAGATAATAAAAACATTGTTCAAATATCATTATTTGTTATGAAGGCATGCAGTTGTTTCTAGAATGCAATAGACATTCTACATAGGAATATTAAAAGCCCTGCAATTGTTTCTAATCTCACCATCATTTTCAACCAAAACATCAATGCTTCCCATCTTTATCATAGCATCTGCAAAGCTCTGATGAAAGCTAGCATTATCTGCGGCAAAATTCATGACTATGTCTCTTGTGGAAGGATCCAAAGCCAATTGTTGATCGATTTGAAGTATCCCTCTCTGCTGAAGTATTTGGTTGTAAAATTGATTGTCAAATACAGAAGGTGTATCTAAGTCCAAAAACACAGTGGGATCATCACTTGCTGGACTAGCGAATGACCCACATATATTCACCAACATAGCATCCAAAGCAGGATCCATTGTAGGATCAAGGTTCCCTTGAAAGCTAGAAAGCCTTTCTCGAAAGACACTGCAATGAGTGAAACCAACCGTGTGTCCTCCCAAAAGGGTCACCATTTCATTCAATGTCAACCCTTTTGCAGTGAAAGATTGCAAAGCCCGAGACACAGAAAATGATGGTGCAGGAACCTTCACTTCAGAAGGATCAGATCGTAGTCCATCTCTTCTTCCTGTGGTGACATTGTATTTCGGTCCCCCTGCTAGAGCCACTGCATCTCTTGTTGCAAGTGTTATGATATCTGCACATGAAACTATTGAGGGGCAAGCTTGTTCTAAAATTTCCTTGGCCTCATCAATGACCTCAAATCCACGAATTGATTTGTTTGGTTCTGCATCCTTCTCCGATGTCCTGTTGCTAGTTGAATCTATTAATATAGATGCGTCACAACCCTGAAACCAAAACTTTTACAATGTGTTAGCATTTTTTTTTTTCTGCGGACATTTGGGTCGGTGCCAATGTTTTTATTACAATAAATACACAAAAATATTTAATCCCATCAGTTACATAAAATGAGTATGCAAATATTAACCAATTATAAGAGTAATCCGCCGCCAAACGGATGAATTGGTAAGGAATTGTTCTAACTTAATCAATAGTATAGAGTGGCTTTTCAAAAAATGATAATCATCTAGAGTACTTGAGAGTTGTGAATGCCTTTGTCGTCCTATTCAGTTGGAATCGGACTAGTCGAATAATTAATAAATTAATGAATAATATTAAAAAAAAAAAAAAACAATCCAGAGAGGAAACACAATTGGTAAGCCTACCATGCCTAAAGAGTGAATTGTTGGGTTTGAAAAGATTTCCGCTTAATTCAATTATTTGGCAAAATAACTGGACAATGACAAAAACCTTCATCCCTTACACCACAACTGCACATAAGCATTTTTTTTTTTGTTGCGCACATTTGGGTCGGTGCAAATTTTTTATTAGAATAAACACAAGAAAATAAAATGTAATCCCATCCGTTACATAAAATGAGTATGCAAATATTAATCAAGAATAAGAGTAATCCGCAATCAAACATATGAATCAATTGGTAAGAGGTTCTTTCAGCTTAACCAATAATCTAGAGTAAAAGTTCTTAGGAATGTAATTGTAATTTGTAGATGCCTCTGTGGTGTTATCCAGTTCGAATCGGATTAGTTGAATAATTAATTAAATAATATCCAAAAAAAAAAGAAAGTAATCCCGAGTGTTGACATAATTGGTAAGCCGACTATGCCAAAAGGATTTTTGGGTTTGAAGAGATTTCCGCTTAATTCAAACTTTTGGCAAAACATCTGTTCAATTAATGACAAAATCTTCATGCTTTACACCACATAAGGGACTATTTTCATCTAAATGAGTGGGACACTCGGAGGCGGACCGGTGTTGTTGCCTGTGTCTGCACATCCAGACACAAAAATTTGAGAATTTTTTTTAAAGAGGTGGGTGATTTAGGTCAAATAAAAAAAATAAAAAAATTAGGAAGATTGAAAAAAAAAAAAAAGATAGGCCCAAGTCCAACCCAACCAACCTATATAATTAAAAGCTTAAAGTTTAAACCCTATCACATTGTTTTGTCTCTTCTTCTTTTTTTGAAACATAAACCTTATTAGCTTCAAATCTTAATGGACATCAATGATTCCTGAAATTTAATCTTCATCAAGTGAAAGAAAATCGCATGAGATTTTTCAAGTTTTTTTGTGAAGCAAAAGTGGTCAACTTTGAATCAAATAGATATCGATAGAGGTTGGTTTTTGATCAATTAACCCATACAATTAATACATTTTAATTTTTTTTTTTTTTTAATCTTTCAGGGCGCTGCCCCTAAACCCCCACCTTAAGTGTGCACACATAAAAAAAAAAAATTCTGAACCCACCACAGAGGACACCCATATCGTGAAACAAAAAAAAATTATGTGCAAAGAGTGGTTTTGGTCTTACTCTAACAAAGCAATCATGAAAGTGCATACGAAGCAAGGCTGCAGCAATAGTCTTATCCTTGTTGAAACGCCTTTGCACAACCTCACGCACAATGGCCTCTGCACTTGGACAACTAGAGCTATAGAAGCCAATTCTTAGGTCAGCAAATGTGAATGGAAGGAGACATAAGAAGATTAGGACGGTGATCTTCATTTTGGGTATTGCTCTGCTTGGCTATCTTTGCTTTCTCTTTGAGTGTCCTGCAAATGCTATAAATCTTGGTGGAGTTTGCCATTAAAGATTTTTTTTTTTTCTTTCATCAATTTTTGTTAGAGCCATTAAATGATAGTGATGCATACAGTTACGTTATATTTCTTGTCCGTATGCTTGAAGGGTAACAGTTGCGAAGACTTTTTCCTCTCTTTTTTCAACTTTTTTAAGTAAGAAAAATGAATTTACTTTTTTCTCATAAAAAAAGGGTATTAAAATATAGGTGTAGAAAATAATAGGTGTAATAGTAGTATTGTGATCGTGATACATGCACACCAGATTTACACCAACGCTATTTAATTAGCTGGTTCAACATAAATTTTTGATTCAATTTTTATTTTTAGTAAACAATCAAAATACTATGGAGAAAAATATATAATTGATCGTATTAGTTCTTAATGATGAAAATTACACCCAAGGTCCTAAATGTGAAATCTCTCGATCAAATTGTCCACCTCTTAACTTCTATCACATGATATGTTAAGTGTCATGTTCTTAAATGACTCTGTTTTGGTGTTGGAGGGTTAAAAATTGCAATCCCTCATTTTCCCCCATTTTCTCCATGAAATCAAAAGATGGACATGCTGAACAGCTCGAAGCGTTACGGAAAATAGCGAGGTTATCTTAACACCTGACCCTGAGAGTTTCAAAATTCAATGACATCATAGCCAGAAGACCTGGTCAAACCTTCTTTTCGGACCTACTCTCTACAAAACGGAACAATAATTAAAGTGACACATTTTTTTATAATTTTTTATCTAAATGCCACGTAAACAGTATTATTTATCATACTATCATGTGTCGAAGTTCGTTATAACTCGTAGCGAATTTGATTAGGCCACGTGACACGTTTCCATTAGAGTATAGCGCATCAAGTTAGCTCAATCAGTTTTTTCTACGAAAGTGTGTCACGTGTCACGAAATTATAGACTAACCAAATTCACTACTAGTTGTAGCGAACTTCAACGTGTGACAGTCTAATAAAAATATTATTCACATGGCATTTAGATAAAAAAAATGTGACACTTTGATTACTGTTATTAACAAAAGATCTCAATCTCAAGAATTTTAGCATTACCATCGAGTTGAGGGATATTGATGCTATTAATTCGTGAAGTATCTATTATGTTTGAAGAGTTTTGGCATTGATTTTATAGATTCATATTATCCGGGAGATTTTCATCATATATATATCATCTCTCAATATGTCAATTAATAATAAAAAATAAAATAATAATTAATAATAATAAATGTAATATTTTAACTTATTTATAATTTTGTTCTTTATTTTTTTTATTTAACTATTTTTTTATCATTAACACTTTCATCTGAAATGTTAACGATAATAATAATAATGATATAGTATTACTAATATTTATGCATTTAATAGCATTGGTAATTGCAATTAAAATTATTCTTTAAAATAATATTAATTTTTTTATTTTATATTAAATACAACTCATCAATGCACCTTGACATTAATCTTGCCTGCTGTTAAATACCCTGTCTAAATCCTGCCTCTGTCCAGTATTTTAAGTGTTAGTGTAACACCTCGTGTATATCCAGTAATGTTATCATACTATCGTATTAAACTGCGTTTAATTAAAAATTGTTGAATATCTTTTTCTTTTCCAATTATGACGTCATTATACATAGCCAAGTTGATTACTTAATCAATTTCATAAAAACAATACCTGTATGTAAATTGCAAGACAACTAACTGAAATACCTCAATATAAAATATAAAGTGAGTATCTAAGTCACGGCATTACATCACGTAATCCGGACAATATCCTAATACATTAATACAACTCTAAATAAAACAAGACATAACAAGTCTACGTGGCATGGACAATCTTCATGCTCACCAAATCAACAGCATAAACGTCAGAGTCTTAACAAGATAATCCACAATCCTAACATGAAGCTAAAAGCATAAAAGCAGCAAGCATATCCAGCATCCAACATGTCAGCATATAATATCATCAATATCTAACTCAGCTCTGGCCTCCTACCGCCTGGGGCCTCAACCCCCACATTACCTGAACTTGAAATAAACATTCCCCAAACGTGAGATGAGATCTCTAAACAAGAAATCTCAGTAAGACAAGGGGTCCTCAAGGATCTTCCACCCCAAACTCACTTACATGTGCAATATAAGTTCTAAAAGCAGTAATTCAATATAGGTTCCAAAACTCAATGCAGAGCAACAGATATTCATGCCATGTGTGTCAATACTATTCTACTGGCCAGAGAAATGCAGGAATACGTCGATACCTACATGTAGTACAAGGAACACCGCTTGTACCTCACCCACAGCCTCACCATATTGTATGTACTACATACTCTGGCTTACCGTATAGGTGGAACACCACATGCATATCATAAAGACACTAGCATATAACAGCTCAATAGCATTTCCAAAACACAAAAGCATGTAACACAACATGCATATAACCGTACCCCCATGGGACATGGTGGAACCACAACATGGCTAAACTAAGGACACGAAAGCTTACCTTACAAGCTCACTATCCAATGCCAAGAGTCCACACAGCTCAAGCCCGACACACAGCAGATCAACATTCATAGCTCATAAGCATAAGCATAAAGACTACGTTTTCCTCTTACGATTTACGTCTTAAGGCTTCTCACAAGCCATAAGCTCTTAATCATTTGATTCTGACTTAGTTAAGTTATTACAGAAGTATCACTTCATCACACTAGGGTCCACAAACCCATACAAGACCTCTGTATGAAAAGTACCTTACTGTTCATCGAAAACCCAGAATATCCGGATATTCCTCGGGGGCATATCCGGATATCTTACTGGCAATATCCGGATATCAATATCCGAATATCCAGATCCCTATATCCGGATATCAATATCCGGATATCAATATCTGGATATTCACAGCCAAATATCCGGATATTTCGCGACAAAACCCAGATTCTGCATTTCGCGAAAATCCAAACCAAAGGTCCAACTTTTACCAATTAACTACGTCCAAGCATGCATTTTTAGGTGTGTTTAACGTTACCCACCCTTAAGTTATCAACTTAGCTCATTACATGCATCAAGGTTCCATTTTTAAGCCCTTAGACTCAAGATCAAAGGTTGATGGAGCTTACCAACAACACAAACAGTGGAAAGAATGCTCTTGGAGCTCACTCTTCAGCTCCTAGGGTACTGACTTGCCAAGAGAACAAAAATGGCACACTACCAAGGTTCCTCTTCACCAAAAATGGCTTCTTGGAGCTACCAAAGACATGAACAAAAGCTCACCCAAGGAAACACACCAACTCAGCCCTTCCCCACCTCTCAAGCAGCCTCAAAACTTAGAACATAAGCTCATCTCCCACTCACAAGTGACCATCACCCCCAACCAAAGTGTTTACTCAACAAAAGAGACGAAGAAATGGAGCAAAGGTGACCACTTGGCTCAAGAAATGAAGGAGAAGCCAATGAAACAGTCCACTAACACTCAACCACCAAGAGAGTCACGCAAGAAATATGAGTCCTAGGGTTTTGTGCCTTAACAAGCCTATATATAGTCACTTAAGCACAAAACACACAATATTAACTTTAATTGTTACACTTAGCATTTTAATCCCAAACTTAGGATTCTTAACCTACTCAATTTTACAAGAATTATCATATTTTTATTATATTTTTCGTAGCACCTTTCCGGTACGCGCTTTTCATAGCCAGTATCAGTTTCTGGTTCCAGTTCTCATTATTTTGACTTGAAACTCGTTTTACAAGTCCTATAAATTATTCTAGGAATTATCATGCACTTATTCTAATTTTCCGGGATACTTTTTTGGTACGCATTTATACTGACTAGCAGACCGGTATCTGCACTTTTCTTCCGAAAAGCGACTTTCAGCATTCTTAATCACTTACTATAATTATTAAAGCCTCTTAATAATTATTAGGGTCAATTATGAAATTATTTCCTAATTTAACATAATTAATCAATTAAATTTCTTATTTAACGATGCGGGTTCTTATAGCTAGCTTCTATTTTCAGAGCATTCAATATTGTTGATATATGGAAAAAAGAGTCAACATCAACGTTAATTACACTTTTATTTCAAATTAATTAGGGTTGATAGCAGATTAATTTAAATAAAAAATACATAAAAATTAAAAAGAGATAAAAGTGAAATAAATTAAAAATAATAAATAATAAAATTTTATATATATGGAAAAATAAAAATAAAGGGACATGGGGGAAAAGAGAATAAAATAAATAAATAAGTAAAAAAAATGGAAAATGTAAAAAGAGATAAAGGAAAAGAAGGATAAAAGAAGAAAATTAAAGGAGCATTTGTAATATAGGAATAACAACGAATCTAACCCGCTAATTCTTTTATTTTTCTTACCAATTTTATATCTTCATAGTTAATTTTTGACCATTTTTCTTGGATTTATGGTATAGAGCTCAAAAATGTGTGTGAGCTAAGTGACGGTGAAGTGTGTGTTAGGAGCATACAAACCTGCATGAGACTCTAAAACTACTAAAGCCTGCAAAACAAACAAAATATATACACGGAAAAAAAGTAATCTATCCTAAGGTTAAGGCAAGCAAGATACATTAAAGCAAATTATAAAAACTGATATGAGAAATCTAAGGAAAAAGAATTAAAACAAATATTTAGAAATTAATAAAAATTTGCACAACCAACAATACAGGCTTGACTCTAAAAAATCCTCACTCGAGTCACCATCTGTAACGACCCGAAATTAAAAAATTAAAACAATGGAGTCGCCACCAATTTTATTTAATTTGGAAAAATTGGAAAACCTTTCATTGCAAACTTGTCTTTGAATCAAGATTTGGGAGTCTGATTATACGCATAGAAAGGTGAAAACTTAATCCTACTGCACCCCTGACACATCCGTAAAAAAACGGTTACCTTAAATTAGTTGTGCAAAT